ACATGAGCCTCGGGGCCACTGACATTCAACTCTCCATTCATGCCAGGCAACATTTCTGCGGTCCCAGTGAACATCTGATCCTTCTATTCATCTGCAGAGAGAACGTGTGGCCTGAAGAGCGCTGCTGTGTACTCTGGGTTCGATAAAGCATTACAGAATCTGCCTTCAAAAGATGTCCTCATGACCCAACCCTCGAAAAGCAGAACAACAACCCAACGCAGGAAACCTTCATGAGTACACTGAGACATGTCTCCTCGTCTAAAGAATGAATGCTCCTGATATGAACGTTAATCTCGTGGCTGCTGAGACTGAAACGTGGTGGGTAGCTGTGCAGATGCATTGCTCCAGGCGTAGATACAATATTCTCCCTCAGAAATATTTTGGCTATAAGACGGATATTAATGCGCTGCAGTTGGAAAGAAATCAAATCTGCAGTGAGAGACTCTGCCAGTTTTCTCATTTTCTACTAATGGGACGCTGAATATGCAAACAGCATGAAGCTTTTTGGAAGGCAGCTATTTCTGAAGCCTCAGTGATCTAAAGGCGTCAGATTCACGAACCTGGAAAACATTCAGTCAGGAAATATCAATTAAAAGGTGTGAAGTGAAATCTCTGAATGTTCTTAACACACTAAACTAGGGGAGGGGTCGCCTTGTTTTTAAGCTAACTCAAACAACTAATGTCGGCCTCATCCCCAATTTCCACATAGTCTGTGTGCGCTACAGTTTTTCTCTCTCGGACGGCGTTCGCCCCCTGACCCACTGGATCCTTTTCTGGAACGTTCACAGGAGGACTACAAGATCACATGAGAACTACAAGATCACAGGAGAACTACAAGATCACATGAGAACTACAAGATCACAGGAGAACTACAAGATCACATAAAAAAACTACAAGATCACAGGAGAACTACAAGATCACTGGAGGACTACAAGATCGCAGGAGAACTACAAGATCACAGGAGAACTACAAGATCACTGAGACTACAAGATCACATGAGAACTACAAGATCACAGGAGAACTACAAGATCACATAAAAAAACTACAAGATCACAGGAGAACTACAAGATCACTGGAGGACTACAAGATCGCAGGAGAACTACAAGATCACAGGAGAGCTGAGGATGGAAGTAGAATATGTGGAAAATGTGGGGGTTACATCTTACCACATTTCAAATGATTTCAAAGTGGCAGACAAACTTCAAAAGCCAGAATATAATCATGAGAGTTTGTCTAGAGTTGGGACTCTCCCGTGATCTCGATCTCAGCTAGTTTGTAATAAGGTGGTCATGAAACTCATGCTCGAGCTGTTCTAAGGCGGTCCTGCTCTCATCTTGGTGTTACGATGAAAAAGAAATGTGTAATTTTAGGAGAACCAGCCACCAGATTTTAACTGGCCATGAATGACCTTTAATCACTCTACCTGTGTGTCTGATTTTGTCCAGCCTCAGAGCTGCGACAACACAACGTCATTATTTCTGCCAGTTTGACTTCCTGTTTCTGAAAGTCTAACTAAATGTTGCATGATTATTATTCCTAACTTGAACTCCAAGGATTGAAAGTTTGTTGTGAAAACATGTTCCAGTCAGAACGATGCGTATAAATACAGTGATAAACATGCTGCACCGCACAGACAAAGAACTCTGATTTCTTTCTGCAGACAAACTCGTTAGAGACTTGTCTTCTACTTCCGCGCCTGAGGCGATCAATCGAGGTCTGGAGCGGCTGCCCAATATAACAGTGCAGATAAATCATCCTCTAACAAGGAGGCCGACATACTTCCTGTGCATGAAATGCCCTCTTGATTAAATTGCCCATTTGGCAGAGTCCCAAGCGTCAAATCCTTGGTTCTCCCTTGGTGCTGATGTGCTCCTCCTGAGCCACACTGCAGCTGATGTGACGCGTGTCCTCATTATGACAAGAGGAGAGAGATGCTGCACGCTCTCCCGTTCACCCCTGAGCCCCCACTCCAACGCTGATCCTGGATTTCACCTGACTGCGAAGGGGGATTATAACCAAATCCAACACGGAGAGTCATCAGTGGAAATGAAGTGTTGACGTAAAGACGTTTGGTCAGAGTCAATCAGTGTGTGTACGAGAACAGTGAAGTCGAGCTGCGGTTACAGCTCCATTAGACCGGCTTGTCCCAATTTACAGCAACAAGGGAGAATCTGTTCATTGACAGAAGTATGACTCCTGGACAGTAGAGGACGATATGTTGCTTTCAGCTAGTCACTAATGGACTTCTTCCTGTTGACCTGCTACATCACAAACAAGTTAGCGAGCAGGTTTTATGTCAAATGGTGAAAACATGAACAACTCTACAGCTCTCTCTCTCTGCGCAAGCAGGGGCGGAGCCAAGGGTAGACCAGGGGCGCCCGAAGTCCTGGACTATGACTGGCTGCTTGCCTTGTCAGAGACGGGTCTATTTCGGCTGTTTTACAACAGGCTGCTGGTATCTTCTTTTGAATCTCAATGTCGCCCATTTCATTTGGTTAGTATTTTAAACAGTGACTTTGGACGTAAGGAGCCGGAGGGAATGTGTGTCTTTGAGTCTTTGAAGAGACTTTTAGATATTGGTTTTGTTCCCTGTCTCATGTTTTGTACCGTCTGAGATCCAAACGGCTCAACTTTTCATCTGATTGGTTAGAAAATATCAGAAATCTGGGTCATGATTTCTCATGAGGAGTTGGTGGAGGGCGCTGAGACTCGACCAGATGAGAATCTAAATGTTGCCTCTTTATCATGGAGAGAGAAAGGGTCCGTAAATGACTTTTATTAATGTGAATGTTTGGGGTCCTCACGCTTCCAGCCACCCCTGCAGTGGCCCGGGTCAACCACCCTCAGTCAAAATAAAACAAAACATACAGACTCCTGATCGCATTTTCCATCCCTTTATCAACATGACGTCAGAACAGGCACAGAGTGAACAACAAATCATCCTCAGAGAGACAAAGCAACATGTTGTTTGCATGTTGTTGTCTTTATTTCTGCGTGATCTTGTGAACCCCTGAGTACAGATTCCTCACACCCAGTGGGGCAGGGCGCACCGTCAGACGGCGCAAAACTGACAGAACGCAGCGCGCGCAGACTCTGTGGAAATAAGCAGTAAGGTGGTCAGAGTCTTCCATATTTTGTCACTTTTCCAATAACGCATGTTTTTAAAGGACTCAATCTGTTATTGTTATGATCAAACGTGACTGTGCAGAAGGTTACCACGTCCTGCAGTTTTGTTATTCATCACTCCGTATTCACTTAGAGCCCACACGCATTAACAACGCCCCCCCTTCTGCACCCATCACTGACCTCAGACCCTTGTCCTTCCTGTCAATCAAACTACACCTCAGTAAAGAATCACAGCGGAGAAGACGACTGACGACCCCTCACCTTCGGTTCCTCTGGACCGCTCATCATCACTGAGTCTCAGGAGGGGTAATCTGAAACCATCCCCTCTTTCTCAGTACAGAAAACTATTTAGGGGCGCTGGTAGTCTAGTGGTTGGTGCACGCGCCCCATTACCATGTACAGAGGCTCTAAGCGGGCGGCCCGGGTTCAAACCTGACCTGTGGCTCCTTTCCCGCATGTTATCCCACTCTCTCTCTCGCTCTCTCTATCCACTGTCCTGCCTCTAATTAGAGTTAGGGGTTTGGGTTTGGGGGGCACAAAAAGCCCTAAAATAAATCTATTTCATAAGACAGGTGCGTGAGAGAGGATTGAGTCTGTAGAAAAAAAACTGCGGGCAAACTCCTGCAAACTGTTTGCACATTGATTTTGTGAGACAGCCTGCAGGAGTTTGCCTGCAATGTTTACGAATAACAAGCAAGAGAAGACCCACTATCAGGTGCATAGGACTGCTGTTTCTGTTGCCGTGGTAACCAACAGGTATCAATGCTGTCTCAGTCTTACTAGAATCACATCGAAGTTTAAAATTCTGGTTCTGTGACAACCCTGAAAACACAGGTAAGCCTCGCCCCGTCCCCCGGGGAAGGGAGACGAGGCTGCAGTTAGAGGAGTCTGTAATCCTGCAGTGAAAACACGCTCCAGCTCTTTTTAGGTTTATGGAACAAACTACTCTGAGGATTACTGTTGCACAGGAGCACCGACGAGCTTCCCCTCAAAAAACATCAGGCAGAGGCACACTGACTGACACACAACCAGCAGAGCTACGGGCTGAATGATTAAGTAGCAGAGGCTTATTTTTCTAGGTTTTCTGAGATTTAATGAAAATACACTGAATGGAATTATCAATATAGGTCAGTATTAAAAATCACATCGACAACAGACACGACACAAGTGAATGTTATGATAGCAGCTCTTGGTTTCCACTGAAGAACCTTGATTTTTTTTTAATTAAATTGAACTATTTCCTCTACTGCAATGAAACACCTGAATGTCAACCTGGTCCACATGAAGAACAAACAACCCTTCAAGGCTGAAAAAACAAAACCAGGCAACAACAAAAACATAAGAAAACTTCACTTCAGACACCAAACATAAGTTAAATCATTACTCTTTGCACCTAAATCATCCTGTCCACCCGCTCCTCCTTGATGTAGCCACACGAAAGTCGTTTTTGGGAACAAACTAAAAACTATTTCGGATTTGAGTAATAATAGGATCCATTATTTATGATAGAAACGTGTAGAAAATGAAAGCACAAGTTGATCAAAAGATGCGTAAAACGGCCATGGCGCACATTTGGAACACTTTACGCACCCGTGGGAAAATTTGAGGGAAATTACAGAGATTGAGTGATTAAAAATGAGTAATATGTAAGAGGAAAAAAACCGCGACGAACCAATAGAGAGCCATGAAAAACATGTTTAATCTGTTTGAGAACTATGTGGCTTTCTACTCTCGGTAAACATCCGAGTAAAGTCCTCTTACTTCAGGCTGCAATAAATGATTCAGGAACATTTAAGCTATTTCATCAAAGTGATGAAAACCTTAAAAAATAGTCTGATGGTTCTTTGTGTTGATCGTGAATTGCAGGAACTCACCTTTGAAAGCTTTCAGTGTAGAAACGATCGCACCCAAACTCGCACCTCTTCATCGCTCATCGTCCGTCTCCAGCTGAAAAGCGTGTTCATCTCTCTGCAGGACACTTTCCCCTCTGCTTCCTCTTCTTCCTCTTCCTCTTCTTATATCAACATTCAAACACACTTTCCCAACATCTGTCGCAGCGGAGACGCGCAGTCTGCTTCGCCCTCCTTCTTCATTAATTTCCCTTCCCACATGCCAAACCCCTCGGGGAGTTTTGTGATAATTGCGCTTCTAAAATAATTGAGGTCGCCTCTGACTCTCCCTGTGATGATGCTGCTGCTGTGGAGACGCTGCTGCTCGCGCTCTGACCGCGGATCGTCTGCGCCCTCCGCGTCTCCATCCCGGACTGAAGTCACACAGATTTAAAGCTGGATCTGCGCCATGAGTCGGACCAGTAATGCTTAAATCCCTGCAGAGTTACGAGAAGTGAAACGAATCAGGAGTCTGTATTATGATCTGATAAGATTCACGACGTAAACTCTGAAAACAGAACCCGCTGTCCTTAGAAAACATCCAAAGATTAAAACCATATTCTGTAATTCAGATTGTTTTCATCTTTAAACTGTTACTCTTCCAACTGAGAGCATTGATGTGAGAATATTTGACATTTAAAGTAAGCATAAACAAGTGGAAGAAGTTAATTTCACAGTTTTTTTAGTGATGTAGCTCGACTGTAAATACAAACATCTGCTCATCTCTGCAGAGTGTTTTTAGTAACCTAAATGAAAGGGTTGTTGTTGCATGATCAAAGTCACCTGAACAGAAATGTGAACAGTTTTTCTGCATCAAGATCTCAGAACATGCAACGTGATGTTAATGTTTTTTATCTTTTTACTACCCTACTTTTGAGCATGTAAGGTGGGCTGCACCCCCCCAACTGATTGGCAGGGCGTGGCCCGATTTGAGGCTTGTGATGCCAAAACAGATTATTTGTCAAACAACGATTTCAGTCGTACACGAGGACCTCGTCTTGTGTTTTTGTTGTTGGTTTACAGGACAACATCATTGTGAGTGACTGACAATGCAAAGTTTTGAAAACGGCCCTGTCTCCGCCATCCTGCTGACAATACACTGTTCCTCTTTGACTTGTCGCACATGCTCAGTACACTTCCAGTTGACAGCCGTGTGCGAGTAGGTGGACTACAACAACAACGGCCGACTTCAGACACTTTTATCCAAAGCGACGCACATCAGAGAGTAAGAGGAGGAGACAACGTCAGGAAGTAAAAACATAAAGCTTTAAGTCTGATTGGACACACGGGTGCTGACAGGAAGTGACCAGAGGAGCTGACAGGAAGTGACCAGAGGCCGAGCACAACATAGACAGCTGTTCTTGAGAGTTCTAATCAGCATCAAAACCATCCTAAATATCATCATCATCATCATCGTTAAGGTCGTAGGTGTTGATAAAGAGCTGGGTCTTTAGCTTTTTCTTAAAGGTGCAGAGGGACTCTGCGGCGAATGGAGTTTTTTAGTTTGTTCCACCACCGGGGGCCGACAGAGGAGAAGAGTCTAGTTAGAGACTTAGGACCCTATAGTGAAGGCTGGATCAGACGCCTTTCATTGGCAGAGCGTAGAGGGCGGGAGGGAGTGTAGACCTGGATCAGAGAGTTTAGGTAGGAGCCACTTTCCTCGAGGAACAGCCGATCTTATAATCAAGTCTTTGAGAAGATGTGACTGATTAAGTCTTTCTGATGAAGAGTTTCCCAGAATCAAACTGAATGTGGACGCTCGGAATCCTAAAAAAATGGCCGTGTTTAAGTTGACTAAACTTACAGGAAGTGGGTCGATATCTCAGAAGAAACACTTTGATGCTTCTCTTTTTTTTTGGGGGTTTCTTTGCAGAACTTCCCATTAATGAGGAATTCTGTTTCATGTATAAACTCTCGTCTCATTTATGCAGATTTGCTCCATGCTTCAACGAGAACATCATACACAACAGCTTCATCGCAAAGGTCTGGGAACATTTTCCGCCTTTTTGATCATCCCCCAGTTCCAGTAACTTCCTTCCTCAGCATACTCGTCTCAAAACTTACTGAAAATAGAAAATGAAGTGCACTTAGATGTTGTTTCTCTGGTCTTCTAACCACTCAAAATGCATCACAGCCACCCTTTCACCTTTTGCACATTTACATTAACAGGATGCTATGAGTGCCAGGCTGCTCTTCAGGGTGTTATTTAAGTGCGTTCAAACACTTCTTCACACTAATGGTGATTGATAGCACTCCCACAGCTCATAAATGTTTGTTTACTTATCTAGTTGAACTCTGATGTAAATGACTCTCATATATTCACAGTCATCTCCTCCCGTCATGAGCTGGCCATGACACTACGTTGGTTCAAAGGAAGAATGTGCAACTTTTTGGTAGGTGTCGCCCTTGAGCACCAGCATGAAACCAAAACAAACTGCTGTTAGGCCACGCCTCCTCCATACTGAAGCCTCTGCTCTCCTCCAGAGACACACCTCCAACCCCCCTCACCACTCGTGTTTGAGAAACGCACCATAATTAAGCACCATTGAGCGCAAGCGGCAGACAAACTTGTCCTTGGCTCCAGCTGCAATCACCTGTGTCCTGCATTGTTGTGTTAGCATGCTAATGTTAGCGCTCTTTAGTTAGCTCGAAGCTTCACATGTAATTTGACACAGAATGATCGTGATCTAAAAACTCCAAATAATCAGTGAGTATGTTCTTCTTCTTCTTCTCTCTAGTACTTGACTAAAACAGCTTTTATACACAAGGGGAGGAGCCAGCCGTCCCGTCCATGTAAACACGGCTCTGACAACAACACAGCCAGCGGGACTCGAGCTTCTCACTCATTGTAGACAGTCAGGACTCAGAGACACATTTACACAGGATAGACTGGATTTATATTTATTTTTTATAAATGTATTATTTATATGCATATTCTTCCTTTAATACGAATGCATCCTTTCCTGCAGGTGTAGGCCTTGATGGTGATTAATAAGAACCTGTAAATACAGGTCAGTTATGAGCTCTTTCTTCTCTTAATGAACAAATGAGTGGTGCTTTACTTTAAACTCGTCTGTGATCCAAACTCCCTGGTGCAGATAAAAGCTCTTTTTTTTGTCCACAAAGAAAGTGTTAGAACAAATCCAGAGAGACGGAGACAGACAAATAATAATCATAATAATAATATTGGTGGCAAAATCCCCAAGCTGTCGGCTCTGAGGGGATTTGTGATTTTTTCTTTATCCACCATGCTCAGTGAGTGAGTGAGCGCTGGCATGTTTCCAGGACACCACAGTACTATCACAGCTTGGAGGGAGAGACGGGCAGATATGCGGGGGTCAGCCAGATCTGCGGATTCAACAACAGCTGGAGACGATAACAGATGAGAGTACGCTCTGCAATGGAGGAGAGGAAAGCCCCCCTTCTTCATCCAGCTGATACAAACTGATGACATCTAAATTCAAGATACAAAAATGAAACCTTGATAGCTCTAAACTTCTTCTTCTTCCTTTTCATTAAAGTTCTGTGCAACAACATTTTGGTAACAAACGCAGGTGACTCTTCATCACTTCTGTAGTTCAGCTCCCCCCGCTGGACTGACCTTTCTCTCCAGTCAGAACAACAGAGACGTGTCTCGCTGCAGGCTGAGGGCTGAGCTGCTTCACATGGACCTCACGTCCCATGCAAACACACAAACAAACACACAAACAAACACACACACACACACACACACACACACACACACACACACACACACACACACACACACACACACACACACACACACACACACACACAGGTCGAGTCAAAGGGCAAAGTGTTTAAGCTGTTAAAAACAAAGAGACGCTACAAACAGGGAGAGTCTTTGGGTTGATTGTGCACACAAGAAGGTGTTTGAGTAGAAGTTTGAAAAACTGCTCCTTTTCAAATATGCTCCGACTCTGTTTTGGACAGAACACGCCTCAAGCAGGCGTCGAGCTGGACAGGAAGTCAGACAAAGAAACACGTACGCACGTACAAAATATAAGATATAATACAGACTCCTGATCGTAGTTCTCCAGTGATCTTGTAGTTCTATGGTGTTCTTGTAGTTCTGTTGTGATCTTGTAGTTCTCCTGAGATCTTGTGTAGTTCTCCTGTGATCTTGTAGTTCTCCCGTGATCTTGTGTAGTTCTCCTGTGATCTTGTAGTTCTCCTGAGATCTTGTGTAGTTCTCCTGTGATCTTGTAGTTCTCCCGTGATCTTGTAGTTCTCCTGTGATCTTGTAGTTCTCCTGAGATCTTGTGTAGTTCTCCTGTGATCTTGTAGTTCTCCCGTGATCTTGTAGTTCTCCTGGGATCTTCTAGTTCTCCTGTGATCTTGTAGTTCTTGTACTTCCTCAGAGATCTTGTAGTTCTCCAGTGATCTTGTAGTTCTCCTGAGATCTTGTAGTTCTCCTGAGATCTTTTAGTTCTCTTGGGATCTTGTAGTTATCCTGTGATCTTGTAGTTCTCCAGTGATCTTGTAGTTCTCCTGAGATCTTGTAGTTCTCCTGAGATCTTGTAGTTCTCTTGTGGTGGACTACAGTGGTGTCTGTGATTTTAGCTGCATGTTTGATGATTTCAGAGATCTTTCTTAGGTTGTACCAGGAAACAATGTTAAATGAGAGGACTGATTCAATGAGTGACAGTGAAGTGGGAGTCTTCAAAACGTCTTAAAATGTCATAAATTCTATTCAATGAGCTGAATGATTCGTGTTCCACAGGTGTGGAGCACAGAAAAAACAGCTGTCCTCGCTCGCCTGCAGGTACAAGCATAAAAGCAAGAGAGACACTATTCAGCGCTCAGCGGGCAGACTTTTAGGACATAAACTCTGATGGATTGAACTTTCTGTTGCAAAGCGTTGCTCAATAGCTAAATGGATGCACTGAGGCGTGTACTCTTCAGATAAATCAGCTCTAAATCAAGGCGACAAAGTCAAAGGTTTTAAAGACGTTTAAACTGCTCCGTGTGCATTAAAGGCTTCGTCAGTTTGTGTCCCAGCTGCACAAGTTTTCAGCTCCAACAAACCAACCAAACAGGAGCAAACACATCTCAAAGGCCGGCGCCAAACTCTTCAAGCATTCAGCTGTTGCAATTGGGTGCAGAAACATTTTCACACTGAATGCATCCTGAGCTAAAAATGCAAAGTCACCCATCCAAATAGACCTTCCCTCTGAAGCGTGAGTACCGGTCAGAGCAGCAGGAACAGATGAGGACATCCAAAGAGAGGCGAACAGAGAGACAGAGATGAGAGCAGACGGCTGAAACCGAAGCTGTCTGAAGAGTTTGATAAATAAGGTATACAATCGAGGATGTTCCTC